AAATACCAAATGTGTTCGAAACGCCAAATACCAAGTTGGTATCGGTTTGGTATCGGTATGCCAAAAAGTTGGTATTCGATTGTCATCTCTAAGATGGACAATCCTCCACAAGAAGAAGCTAAACTGGAAACATTATCGCCCGATCCTAATGACCGTCATCTACCCTGACAGCATGGTGTCGAGGCTGGAAGCGTGCACCTTTTGGCTCATGCTTGGGCTCACGGCTCAGTGAAGCGGAAGAATGGTTCGAAAGGGTGATATTTAGTGACGAAAAGTGGCTCGCGATACAGCAAGCACCCGCAAGAAGAATACAGGCTCTTTCGCCGAAGAATCCACAAAAGTTGATTCCATACAAGGATGTGCACGGAGCGAAGGTCTTGGCCGAGGTCTGCCGCACGGAGAAGCAAGTTTTCTTCGAGCGACACAACTGATTTCTGTTTGTGCGATGTAAAATGTCTAAGATTTATCATTCCAACGGTGAGCTGCTTTTGCATTATGTCTTATGCCTCTGGCAGGACTGACTTTATGTCATCTTTTATTGATCACCCTGTAATTTAGAGGATAGCGCGTGGATGTTTAAATGCGGTTATCCCGCACCGTAGACAGCGTTTACAATTGCTTTAGTGTAAAGAGAGAAAATTGTCAGATGTGGAACTGATTTGTTAAACGTCTAGACGATTAACAAACTGTTAAACGTCTAGTAGCCATTTCGTCTAGTCTGAAATGTCGTATTTTTATAAAAAAATGAATTCTTTAGTCATTAAGCATCCGAAAGATATCGGCGGTACGGGATAAAATTATTAAACCGCTCGTAGGTGGAAAAAAAATCTTTTAAACGTCTCGCCTAACGGCTCGACGTTTAAAAGATTTGTTCTAATTAACTACTTGAGGTTTAATATATGTATTTCAGTATGTAAATACCGTTCCCTGTATTTCAGTTGGAACGGTAGTTAACCCTCGCATGTGTAGGGGGGGGGGGGTCGGATGGACCCCCCCATGGTTTTCGCGAATAACTCGCGTAAAAAGCGGCCGATCGCGACGAAACTTTGAGTACCCTCGCATTGATCAATTTTACACCTACCCTGAAAATTTCATGACCCTGACCCAAATGACCTTTGACCTGTGACCTCTTTTCCGAGACCATGTTTGACCGGAATCGCGATTTCGCGTATGTCGGCTCGCACTAGCCGCGTGTTTGCAAGCTTTTCGTGGTTTCAAACGTTCAAACATGTGATTTGATGTTACTCCCGTGTGTGTCAAGGTCACCTGAAGGTCAGGTCAGGTCATTGACCTTTGGTGACCTCGGATGACCTCGGTTCACTTTTTCGAGTTATACATGTTTCTAGGCTAGTTTTTGGAGCTGAATTCGAATTTAGCAACCATTTGAACATTTACGAAGTAGTTTTGGTGACTTCGTAACATGTTACGAAGCTGTCAGAGGCGGTTAACACGTACTACGAATACCCGTCACGACGCCTACTGGTTGACCTGACCTGACCTGACCCGACCTGGTCTAAATGCTTCAAGACATCATCTGTGATCAAAACTAACACGATATTCGTGATCAGCACCCCGAAAAACCCCTTAGCAGCCACACTTTACGACTTTCTAACAGGTCCCGATTTTCCCGACTTTGGGTCATTGCCCTGACCTGGAAGGTCAACCAATGACCTAGGACCTTAAAATTGGGTATCATCGGCTTCCCCTCGTCACGGGCAACACGCTCGTTTTTTCCGCGAAGCTCTAGCTCGATCAGGGGCCAAACGGCAAGGGGGGGGTCCAACCGACCCCCCCCCCCCACACATTAGAAGCTGGCAAACGCCGCACACATGCGAGGGTTAATGACAAAAAAGCTCCAATATCTATGTAATGTCGTTTATGACGTTGCACATGGTTCAAAACGCAAAAGTTGAGCATCTATCTTGAACGGAGTGAAGCGATACGAGCAAGACTCCATGTGCAAACGATAGTCTTAAATCATTTTTTGTCATCAAAATAAATTTTAATGTCCCTTGTTCCTTGTTGAATTACGATGGTGAGGTCACGTCATTGACCTAGATTTACGTGAACTTTATAGAAAATTACGAAACAGAAAAGTTGCAAGGTCTCGGAAGAATATGAAATCATGTGAATTTTATTTATCTGCAGAAGTGGACCTAGCAATGACGGAGTTGCCAAGCCGCAATATTTTAGGACCGAGTGAAGTCTTTTATGACGTCAAAGGTCAGTGACTCGACGAGAATTGAAAATGTAATTGGTCGTTGGTGTCACCAGAGAATCGGCTTGAATCAAGTCAGTTGTGCTATTTTTAGCTTTCTATGGTTGCCTTGTTGAGAGCAAGCGCAAGAAGTCTGGGGTAGGTAACACCCGTCAACCTCAACCATGGAAAGCTATGCTTTTGCGGAGTGAGCTTTAAAGCTAGTGCGCCCCATGCACTGTCGTTTTTTTCCGCTTGCTGTCGGTTTTCCAATATATGGAAGCCAGTTACAGGCGTCTCTTAGTCTCTCATTGGTCAATCGCACACACCACGTGTGGCTCATCAATGACCAATGGGAAGATGAGAAACGCCAGCAAACTGACAGCATGCTGATTGGTGATCAAACAGCGCCCTGACCACACCCCCTCCCATCTATCGCTGACACCCTGCTCGGTAAATCGTCTCGAGACGCGACTGAGCCAGGCCCTTCGCCCTTCGACCGGTTACCGCCGCCGGCATAATGCCGCCTGATTCCGACTGCACCGCAGGACACCACACTGTGGCGAGCGACCCCGCTGTCAGACTCGGGCCGCACGCACCCCCTCCCCTACCCCCACTCCAGCTGTGGCGAGGGTGAGGGTATTCACCGCATCAAACCTACAGGCAGCCTGGACCCTTATCTTGAGACCAATAGTACCTGATTTTATGTAAACCTGACACTTGTTCCGAAAAGCCATCGAATGTGGACGAACATAAGAATACATGATGATGATGATGATGTGAGTGCCCAAACCGGTATTTGCAGGCCATGGCCACCAATTTGGCTATCTCAACTCAAAACTAATGTTAAGGTGAGTGTCCCTTTAAATTAAGTACCAAACATATTCTAGATTGAATTTACTATTGCCTTGCTTGTTGGCAAAAGCAATAAATATGCACACATCGCACGCCGCCCTGGACGCACCCATTTGTATTAAAATGCGACGTCGGCTCGACACTCCTTCTGTTCCACAAAAAGTGCGATGAAGTGATAGCGGATAATCCCTCGAATCTGGTGTCATTCTGTGTAGAATTGAACGCTATATCTAATGCTTGTCTAGAATCGACATTTTATCGTGCACGTCCATAAGAAATTGATAGAAGAATTGAAGAATGTATAGCCAGCAGTGCCCAATGGGCCTCTAAATAAAGACAAGTAGGACACATGAAATCTGCGATGAGATATCATGCGCATTCTTCAAATAATCAGTATTATTGAATAGCCCGTATGTGTTCCCAGATGCGATTCTAGAACCAATGTACTATCCCCTTATTTATTGGCACCAAACAATTAATTGGCATGCATATTTCCCGGCGGCGCCCCGCTCCCATCGCAAAATATGCAATATCCTTTTGTTGCACAAATAGTGCGGAGAAGTGATAGCCGATTTATCCTTTTCGGTAGTGTCATGCTGTGTAGAATTGAGCACTTTATTGAACAGCCATCTAGAATCTACATTTCATTGTGCGCATCAATATGAAAACTTGGTGCGAACTCGAAGATTATTGCTGCCAGGCCAGCAATGCCGAATAGGTAACCTGGTAAATATTAACGAATACCTAAGCAAATTGAAATCTGCGACGAGATGTTATTTTCATTCTTCGATTGAGTAGTAGCATTGAATAGCCCGTTAAATTTAGTACCAAACATATTCTAGATTGATTTTACTATTGCCTTGCTTGTTGGCAAAAGCAATAAATATGCACACATCGCACGCCGCCCTGGACGCACCCATTGTATTAAAATGCGACGTCGGCTCGATGCACTCCTTCTGTTCCCCAAAAAGTGCGATGAAGTGATGGCGGATAATTCCTCGAATCTGGTGTCATTCTGTGTAGAATTGAACGCTGTATCTAATGCTTGTCTAGAATCGACATTTTATCGTGCACGTCCATAAGAAATTGATAGAAGAATTGAAGAATGTATAGCCAGCAGTGCCCAATGGGCCTCTAAATAAAGACAAGTAGGACACATGAAATCTGCGACGAGATATCATGCTCATTCTTCGAATAATCAGTATTATTGAATAGCCCGTAAAATGTGTTCCCAGATGCGATTCTAGAACCAATGCACTGTGAAGACGCCTCTGAACCGGTGCAGGTGTATTGTTCACAGCGGGCGAGCGTGGCGCGGACCCAGTAGAGACTGACGCGGCCCCGCACGGTCCGGCCGGGAGCCGCCGCCGGACCGTGCCCCGAGGGCACACACGGTCGTAGAGATGCAAACCCCAGGTACAGACTGGGGATGCACACCACCACATCTCCCCCCTTAAGCCCCCAGCGCGCTCGAGGTATAACGAAAAGAACGGAAACATAACACAATAGCGAAAATAACAAGAAACGTAGTACACCATCACATCTCCTCTATGAGCCGACGCACCGGCTTCCGCACACGGGTGGATCGGCGGACAGTCGGCGGCTCAGTGCGCGGCGCGCGATCCGGCCGTGTGGAGGCGCGCGATTCGCTCGCAGATGCATGGTCACGACTCATCCGACCAGTGTCCGGTTGTGTGACGACACGCGGGCCGGCTCTCCCGGGAGGCTCCACTCCGGGCACCGGGCACAGAGCGTGCCGCCTGCGCAGGTGGCATCTGTTCCGATCCACCTCCCCTCCATCGTCGAAGCGTACACTGTAGCGTCGGTGGGGGCCGACCGACGTCACCACGCCGCACCTGTCCCATCGTTTGGTCCTGACGTCCTGCACACGGACGCGAGTCCCGACGGGGAACTCGGGCAGGTCGTGGGCATGCTGGTCGTACCACCGTTTGGCAGCGCAGCGGCGTGACTCGCGGCGATCGTCGCAGTCCACAGTCTGGTGCGGTGGCGTCCCCCTCCGCTGCTGGGCTCCGCCTCCACTCGCCCGCTGCGAGCGCGCCGATGGTTTGAAGTGCGACGGGTGCGTGGGCAGGTCGTCCCTCAGTGGCCGGCCGTAGACGATCTCGGCGGGCGACTTCCCGCTGACGCCCGGCGTGTTCCGCTGCTGAAGCAGGCCCCGCGTCCACTCCTCTTCGTTGAGCCGTCCTCTGCCGTCGTCCCAGCATCGCCTGAGCAGTTTTTTTGCAGATTTAACAGCAGACTCGGCCAGGCCGTTAGATCGGGGGTAGTGTGGGGATGATGTGCGATGCAGAACGCCCCAGTTGCTCAAGAACGTGCTGAACTGAAGAGACGTGAAGCAGAGGGCCCCGTCGGTTCTGACAAGTTCTGGCACACCGACCTCACTGAAAATCTTAAGCATTACTTTGATTACGTTTTTGGTGTCAGACCGGGTGCCCGTACATTCGATGAACTTCCACCCAGAGTAGCCGTCAACGACGACGAGGTACTTGCCTCCTGCGTGGTCTGCGAAGTCCATGTCCAGGACCTGGAACGGCCTGGCGGCAGGCTCATGATGCAGCATGGTCTCCCTCGGCTGGGATGGCAGCTCTTGCTGACACCTACTGCATCCTCTGGTGACGTCTTCGATGGCGGCGTCCATTCCCGGCCAGTAGACCACCCGCCGAGCTCGCTCCTTGGTCTTCTCCTTCCCGAGGTGACTCGCATGGAGAGACGCTAAGGTCGATCTACGGAGGGATAGCGGCACCAGGATGCGCATGCCGCATAAGATGATGCCGCCCTCCACCGACAGTCGGTCGTGTACCGGCCAGTACTTCCGGAGGGGTTCCGCAAGCTCCGCTCTGGATGCCGGAAAGCCGGTGGAGATGATGTCTCTGAGCATCTGGAGCTCGGGGTCCTCTGACGTCGCACACTCCACCCGGTCTAGCATGATGTCGGTGTCGCACGCTCGAAGCTCAGCTACCAAGACGCTCTGGAGGGCAGGTGCGTCGTTGTCTTCCCCACATTCGTCATCAGCAGCTGCTGGTTGGGTGGGGCTCCTGGAGAGAGCGTCTGCCGCCTTGTGCTGGGATCCTGGCACCCAGCTGGCTACGAATGGTCCGTAGTATGCCATCTTCAACTTAAGCCTCTGTAGTCTCGGGTTCTCGATCTCGTCGAGAGTCTTGCCGTTGATGATGGGGACGAGCGGCTTGTGGTCGACGAATATCGTGAAGCTCGTCAGTCCGGAGAGAAAGATGTGACATTTCTTCATGGCCCATACCACGGCAGTGGCTTCCAACTCGATGGTGGCGTATCGGGACTCCGCTGAAGACAGGAATCGCGATCCCGCCTGGATAACCCGCCAGCTGCCGTCCTCCTGCTGCTGCCGTAGGAGGAAGCCGAATCCCTTGAGGCGGCTGGCGTCGGTCGAGAGCGAGGTTGGTCGTCTGGGGTCGAAGTAGGCCAGGTTCGGAACTGATGTCAGCGCCTTCTTGGCTGATATGAACGCCTGTTCTTGCTGCTCGTCCCAGATGAACTCGTTTCGGGTGCTGAGCAGCGGCCTGAGAGGCAGGAGGAGCTCCGAGAGCTCGTCGACGAATGGGGCGACCTGGTTGGCGAGGCCGAAGAAACTTCGGAGCTCAGAGATGTTCTTCGGTGTCGGGAACGACGAGATGGCCGACGTCAGCTGAGGGTCGGGCTCGTAGCCGTCCGCCGATATGATGAAGCCGGCGAATTTCACCTTCTGTTGGGCCAGCTGCAGCTTCCGCCGGTTCAGGGAGATACCTCTCTCCTCGCAGCGCTCCATGAAGCGACGGACGTCACGGATGTGGTCCTCCCTGGTCCGACTGTAGACCACGACGTCATCCACGATCTTCTTGTAGCCGGTGAGGCCGGAGAACGCCTCGTCCATGCGCCTGTTGTAGTGGTCAGATATCGAGCTGACCCCGTACGGCGCGCGTAAAAACGCGTACCGGCCGAACGGCGTGATGAACGTCGTCTTCAGCACGCTGTCCTGATGAAGAGGGCACTGGTGGTAGCCCTTTGCCGCGTCGAAGACGGTGAACCACTTCGCCTCCGAGCTCGCTATAGAGGCAACTTCCTCCAGCGGGGTGGGTGCCTGGTACTGCTCGGTGCGGACGAACTTGTTCAGGCGAGACAGGTCCACGCACAGCCTGATTCCTCCCTCCTTCTTCGGTTCAACGACGATCGGTGCACACCACTCAGTCGGCTCCGTGACGGGCACGATGATGCCCTCGGACACCAGCTTTTGCAACTCGTCCTTCAGCGGCGTGCGGAGTGAGAGGGGCACTCGTCGTGGGCTCGACACGCGGAACGGCACGGCTTCCTCCCTGAGGTGAATCTTGAACTGCTCCCCCGGCATGACTCTGATGTGGCCATCGAACACGTCAGGCAGCGCGAGTACCGAGGCGCGGCGCTGCGCCGTGACGTCCAGGCGCACGCGGGGGGCGCTCTGCACCGAAGCGACCGCGATGATGGCCGACGCGGCCGGTCGCCGCGCCGCACCGTCCGGGCTCCGGTCACTGCTGCCCTCCGACGACTGGAAGCGGACCCGGTTGCCGCGCCACGGCTGGCGCCGTTGCGATCGCCGCGTGTCCAGCGACGGGGACGGCGATCTCGACGACGAGCGGTACGGGTCGGGCCTGTAGCTCCGCCCAGGTGGCGAGCTCCGCGGCCGAGACGGGGCCAGCCGGCGGCGCTCGTACGACGTGGTCGGTCGGCGGTCATCGTATTCGCCGGATGCGTCGGGGCAAACTGCCGCGAAGTGGTCCAGCTGGCGGCAGCTGCGACAGCGCTGACCCCGGGCCGGACACGCGTCTCCCATCCGGTGACGTCGCCGGCCGCACGCAGCGCACCAGCCGCCGTCGCGCCGCCTCGGTCCAGCGCTCGGCGGCGCTCGGTGGCGCTCGGCGGCGTCCACTCGGTGGGCGGCGGCCCGGGCGAGTCCGCCTGCCCGCAGCTCCACGGCGTCTCTGGCGGCCGCCTCGTCAGCCCTGCAAACAGCGATGGCATGCGACAGCGAGAGGTTTTGGACGGCGCAGAGACGTTTGACGGTCTCCGCTGATCTCAGACCCATCACAATTCTATCCCTGATTAGCGAATCATTACACGCGTCACAAAATTTGCAAGCACGAGACAATTCACGCAGGGAGGTTAGAAAATCATCAAAGACCTCCCCTTCAGCCTGAAACCTTTCGTTAACCCTCGCCGGCCGAGGGGGGGGGGGGCGGGTGCCGCCCCCCCCATAGGGTTTTTTCGCGATAGCTCCGAACACGCTGGCGATAGAGAGCTGAAACTTGGCATACCTGACCTTTGATCCAAGCCGCATCTTTTGACACCAACCGCATTTTTGGGTCAGGTCAGGTCACTGACCTATGACGTCATAAGTGAACCTCTGCACGGTCTTCAGATGTCGCAACTTCGCAACGCCCTCACTGCCAGAGGAGATGTCACAGGGAAATGAAACTTGCAGGATCTAGTATCCATTATGAGTCCCACAACTTGTACATCTCGGATTTTTCCTAAAGGTCATATGAGGTCAGGTCATTTTCGTGACCTCACCATTATAAGTCAATGGGGGAAAATGAAAACTGCTATTCTGGCGCCGGGAACGATCTCCAACTATCTCAAGCACACAGAATCGTGATTTTATGCACTCCTTGCAAGGTTAGATGCGTCACTTTTGCAATGTTGACCTTGCGTGACGTCATTTATGACGTCATCAAGGTCATATTAGTTTTTCGTCAATAACTCTTGATCAAATTGAGCTAGCGAGTCGGGAAAGCCACCAATGGACTCAGGAAGACCTGCCGAGTCGAATGATATGCGACATGACCTCTTTCGACCAACTTCGTGACCTGGGGGTGCTGACCTGACCTTGACCTGAGGTCAACACCCCAAGTTGACCTGACCCAGACAAAAAGTATATCATTCGACGCGCCTGAGCGAGACGAACACGATGCTGCCAAAATCGGCGCTCTGCGGCCATTTTTTGCGAAGTTATTCACCAAAAACTGAACCGTACCTTGGGGCACTTGACCTGACCTCAGAGGTCACCGGTTGACCTAGGACCTTAAAATCGGGTACCAATCTCTGCGTCTCGTAACGGCGCACACGCTCGTTTTTTCCGCGACGCGCTAGCTCCACCAGGGGCGAAACGGCGAGGGGGGGGGTCGTACCCGCCCCCCCCCCCCCTCGGCCGGCGCGTATGTAGAAAACCAATAGGTCCGGCGAGGGTTAAACCTCTTCCTTTCGATAACCTCGTTTACTTGGCCCACTGCGAAACGCTCCAGCGCGTCCAGTATAGTGATGTCAATTACGGAAAATCGGAATACCGATACCAAACCAACTACCAACCAAAACCACGAGAAAATACCGAAACCAAACCAACTTGGGAAACTGAGGGAAATACCAACTTTTTACCGATTTATTAGCCTCTTATATATTAGTGAGGGCTTATGATACCAACAAAATACCAAACACATTACGATTGAAATACCAAATACCAAGTTGGTATCGGTTTGGTATCGGTATACCAAAAAGTTGGTATCCGATTGACATCTCTAGTCCAGTACAACCTCGGGGTCGGCACGCTGGACCTCGGTCAGCTCCAGGTTCCTCAGGACGCGGCGACTCTCCGGGGTCATGACATTTTTCAGGGCAGCCAGCTGAATGTCAGGTTCAGCGTCTATCAAGCCGGTCAGGAGCACGTAGTCCTCCCAGCTTTCTCTCCACACCAGGAAAGACTCACCCCGGTCCGTGGAGAGGTCCAGGCTGTCGGGTGCTCGTACTCGGCCCGCCCACGGGGCCGGCGCGCTGCGAGACGCACGACCGCGGCCGGCCCGCTGCCGCGGCGCGGCAGCCCGAACCGCGACGGAAGCGGCCGGCTCCCGAGACGCATCCGGCTCCCGAGACGCATCCGCTACGCTGTCGGCGTCAGAGTCCCCCATTGCTGGGTCGAAAATGCACAATAATTATGCACGTCGCCCTGTCACACTTGCACTGGTAATCGCACGTTCACGACCCTGCAGGCTGCGCCATGTGAAGACGCCTCTGAACCGGTGCAGGTGTATTGTTCACAGCGGGCGAGCGTGGCGCGGACCCAGTAGAGACTGACGCGGCCCCGCACGGTCCGGCCGGGAGCCGCCGCCGGACCGTGCCCCGAGGGCACACACGGTCGTAGAGATGCAAACCCCAGGTACAGACTGGGGATGCACACCACCACAATCCCATTATTTATTGGCACCAAACAATTAATTGGCATGCATATTTCCCGGCGGCGCCCCGCTCCCATCGCAAAATGTGCAATATCCTTTTGTTGCACAAATAGTGCGGAGAAGTGATAGCCGATTTATCCTTTTCGGTAGTGCCATGCTGTGTAGAATTGAGCATTTTATTGAACAGCCATCTAGAATCTACATTTCATTGTGCGCATCAATATGAAAACTTGGTGCGAACTCGAAGATTATTGTTGCCAGGCCAGCAATGCCGAAAAGGTAACCTGGGAAATATTAACGATTAAGCAAATTGAAATCTGCGACGAGATGTTATTTTCATTCTTCGATTGATTAGTAGCATTGAATAGCCCGTTAAATTTAGTACCAAACATGATTCTAGATTGAATTTACTATTGCCTTGCTTGTTGGCAAAAGCAATAAATATGCACACATCACACGCCGCCCTGGACGCACCCATTGTATTAAAATGCGACGTCGGCTCGACACTCCTTCTGTTCCCCAAAAAGCGCGATGAAGTGATGGCGGATAATCCCTCGAATCTGGTGTCATTCTGTGTAGAATTGAACGCTGTATCTAATGCTTGTCTAGAATCGACATTTTATCGTGCACGTCCATAAGAAATTGATAGAAGAATTGAAGAATGTATAGCCAGCAGTGCCCAATGGGCCTCTAAATAAAGACAAGTAGGACACATGAAATCTGCGACGAGATATCATGCTCATTCTTCGAATAATCAGTATTATTGAATAGCCCGTAAAATGTGTTCCCAGATGCGATTCTAGAACCAATGTACTATCCCCTTATTTATTGGCACCAAACAATTAATTGGCATGCATATTTCCCGGCGGCGCCCCGCTCCCATCGCAAAATGTGCAATATCCTTTGTTGCACAAATAGTGCGGAGAAGTGATAGCCGATTTATCCTTTTCGGTAGTGCCATGTTGTGTGTAGAATTGAGCATTTTATTGAACAGCCATCTAGAATCTACATTTCATTGTGCGCATCAATATGAAAACTTGGTGCGAACTCGAAGATTGTTGTTGCCAGGCCAGCAAAGCCGAATAGGTAACCTGGGAAATATTAACGAATAAGAAAATTGAAATCTGCGACGAGATGTTATTTTCATTCTTCGATTGATTAGAAGAATTGAATAGCCCGTTAAATTTAGTACCAAACATGATTCTAGATTGAATTTACTATTGCCTTGCTTGTTGGCAAAAGCAATAAATATGCACACATCGCGCGCCGCCCTGGACGCACCCTATATTAAAATGCGACGTCGGCTCGACACTCCTTCTGTTCCACAAAAAGTGCGATGAAGTGATGGCGGATAATCCCTCGAATCTGATGTCATTCTGTGTAGAATTGAACGCTGTATCTAATGCTTGTCTAGAATCGACATTTTATCGTGAACGCCAATAAGAAATTGATAGAAGAATTGAAGAATGTATAGCCAGCAGCAGACATGTGCATGGATCCGAGTGATGGATCTATGATCTCAGTGGATCTCAAAGCAAAGTACAGGCTGGGATCTATGATCCCACCGGATCCGGCGTGAAAAATACATCTTGGATCTATGATCTCATATGATCTGACGATAACTTAAGAACATGGATCTATGATCTGAGTGGATCCCACCATGCACCACATTTGAAAACATGTTTTAAAGGGTTTCTAAGCCAATAAGTGACACAAAACTGTAGATTATGACGTGCGATCACATAAAATCACTTAAACAGAATGTTTGTGAGTTGAAATAAGTGCTTTTTTGGGATATATGTGTTGACAAAAAATAAGTGAGGATCTATGATCTGACTGGATCTCAAGCAAAAAAATGAGACTCGGATCTGTGATCCCTACGGATCTCTCGATAAATTACAGAGCTGGATCTATGATCCCGTCGGATCCGAGATCAGGATCCATGGGATCAGATCCCAGATCCATTTTCTCAGATCCATGCACATGTCTGGCCAGCAGTGCCCAATGGGCCTCTAAATAAAGACAAGTAGGACACATGAAATCTGCGATGAGATAACATGCTCATTCTTCAAATATTCAGTATTATTGAATAGCCCGTAAAATGTGTTCCCAGATGCGATTCTAGAACCAATGCACTATCCCATTATTTATTGGCACCAAACAATTAATTGGCATGCATATTTCCCGGCGGCGCCCCGCTCCCATCGCAAAATGTGCAATATCCTTTTGTTGCACAAATAGTGCGGAGAAGTGATAGCCGATTTATCCTTTTCGGTAGTGCCATGCTGCGTAGAATTGAGCATTTTATTGAACAGCCATCTAGAATCTACATTTCATTGTGCGCATCAATATGAAAACTTGGTGCGAACTCGAAGATTATTGCTGCCAGGCCAGCAATGCCGAATAGGTAACCTGGTAAATATTAACGAATAAGCAATTTGAAATCTGCCACGAGATGTTATTTTCATTCTTCGATTGAGTAGTAGCATTGAATAGCCCGTTAAATTTAGCACCAAACATATTCTAGATTGATTTTACTATTGCCTTGCTTGTTGGCAAAAGCAATAAATATGCACACATCGCGAGCCGCCCTGGACGCACCCATTGTATTAAAATGCAACGTCGGCTCGACACTCCTTCTGTTCCACAAAAAGTGCGGTGAAGTGATGGCGGATAATCCCTCGAATCTGGTGTCATTCTGTGTAGAATTGAACGCTGTATCTAATGCTTGTCTAGAATCGACATTTTATCGTTCACGTCCATGAGAAATTGATAGAAGAATTGAAGAATGTATAGCCAGCAGTGCCCAATGGGCCTCTAAATAAAGACAAGTAGGACACATGAAATCTGCGACGAGATATCATGCTCATTCTTCGAATAATCAGTATTATTGAATAGCCCGTAAAATGTGTTCCCAGATGCGATTCTAGAACCAATGCACTATCCCATTATTTATTGGCACCAAACAATTAATTGGCATGCATATTTCCCGGCGGCGCCCTGCTCCCATCGCAAAATGTGCAATATCCTTTTGTTGCACAAATAGTGCGGAGAAGTGATAGCCGATTTATCCTTTTCGGTAGTGCCATGCTGTGTAGAATTGAGCATTTTATTGAACAGCCATCTAGAATCTACATTTCATTGTGCGCATCAATATGAAAACTTGGTGCGAACTCGAAGATTATTGTTGCCAGGCCAGCAATGCCGAAAAGGTAACCTGGGAAATATTAACGAATAAGCAAATTGAAAATTGCGACGAGATGTTATTTTCATTCTTCGATTGATTAGTAGCATTGAATAGCCCGTTAAATTTAGTACCAAACATGATTCTAGATTGAATTTACTATTGCCTTGCTTGTTGGCAAAAGCAATAAATATGCACACATCGCACGCCGCCCTGGACGCACCCATTGTATTAAAATGCGACGTCGGCTCGACACTCCTTCTGTTCCACAAAAAGTGCGATGAAGTGATGGCGGATAATTCCTCGAATCTGGTGTCATTCTGTGTAGAATTGAACGCTGTATCTAATGCTTGTCTAGAATCGACATTTTATCGTGCACGCCAATAAAAATTGATAAAAGCTTGGTATGGCCAGCAGTGCTCATGGTTCTCCAAATGACAAGTAGGAAAAATAAAATCTGCGACGAGTTATCATTCTCATTCCTCGAATGGCCGGTATCAATAAAAAGCCCGTAAAATGTATTCCCGGACCGGAGACGATTATCGAACCAACGTATTATTCCTTTGTTTATTGGCAACAAACAATCGAGTAGCATACATCGTTCGTGGCGGGGTCCCACTCCTCTCGCGAAACGATGAAACATCCTTCTATTTCACAAATAGTGCTGTGAAGTGATAGCAGAATTATCCTTTTCAGCAGTGCCATATTGTGTAGAATTGATTGCTTTATCAAACAGCTATCTAGAATCTGCACATAATTTTGCGCATCAATATGAAAACTTGGTGCGAACCTCGAAGGTATTGGTTGTTGGGCGAGCAATGCCGAAAAGGTAAGCCGGGAAATATTAACGAGTAAGGAAATTGAAAGCTGCGACGAGATGTTACTTTAATTCTTCGATTGATTAGAAGAATTGAATAGCCCGTTAAATTTAGTACCAAACATGATTCTAGATTGAATTCACCATTGCCTTGCTTGTTGGCAAAAACAATAAATATGCACACATCGCACGCCGCCCTGGACGCACCCATTGCATTAAAATGCAACGTCGGCTCGACACTCCTTCTGTTCCACAAAAAGTGCGGTGAAGTGATGGCGGATAATCCCTCGAATTTGGTGTCATTCTGTGTAGAATTGAACGTTGTATCGAATGCTTGTCTAGAATCGACATTTTATCGTGCATGCCAATACAAATTGATAAAAGCTTACGTATGGCCAGCAGTGCTCCATGGGCCTCCAAATAAAGACAAGTAGGAAAAATAAAATCTGCGACGAGATATCATTCTCATTCCTCAAATACCCGGTATCATTAGAAAGCCCGTAAAAAGTGTTCCCGGACAATATTCTGGAACCAACGTATTATTCCTTTGTTTATTGGCAACAATCAATTAGCATGCATCGTTTGCGGCGGCGTCCCGCTCCCATCGCAAATACATACAGGGTGATCCAAAAAAACTGGAACCCCTAACTTAAAATGTCTGTAAGTCAGACAATTTTAACTTTATTGACAAATTGCAAACATCATTAGAAAGAGCGTTCAATTCTCTATAAAATCAAGTTGATTGAACTTAATTATTATTATAAATATTGCCCTAGACATAGGGGAAAGTGGGGTATGACGGGCATGTTAGTTTTGCGGGTCTGTACCTCTGAAGTCTTTTCTTCGATTGCTTCACCAATTTAGCACAACCATCTTCAGGCATTTTTCTTTCAGTGCCCCTTTGACACCTAAGGTCTAAATCCAATACTTTTCAATTGAGAGTGTTTTTAGCAAGACCCTGCAAAAACCCGTCTTACCCCACCGGGGAGGGTAAGACGGGCACTGATGTTGGGGCAAGACGGGCACAACGTTAGTTTGAACTTCTTTACATATTTACTGCCGAATAATTATGCTAATACATCTTACACATCTGGCTTTTGATCTTACAGTCAATATTGTAAGGTTCGTAGCATCGCACGGCTACTTATAGGCGTAATGGTATTGATCGATGTAATGAAAAAATTAAACAAATTCAAAGCTGTCTATTTAAATAATTTCGATGGAAATGCGTTGCAAATGATGTAGAACAGCGTAAGTTAGCTTAAAATAACAATATCAGATGGTTTGCATTCCTTTCATCATTGTTGCCCGTCTTACCCCATTCGGCTGCCAATAAGGATATCACACCGCCTCCGGGCACCAAATTAAAGGATTCATTCGCCAGCATACACATTTGGATGACACCCTAAGACGAAACTCTCATCAAATTTCCAAAACAAAATATGAAACAGCGAGGTCAGAAAACACTACGAAACACGATAGTTCTGCTTAGAGTGCAAGGCACGTTTTTAGCTTTTCCACAATTTTTCAAAAACTATTTAAGATGCGTACCTCTGCCTTCACCTCACAGCAAAGAACCACACGGCCGATTACCAACCACAACAAGAGGTTGCTAGCGCCAACGGTTTGGGCTAGAGGGCCGGTGCCCGTCTTTCCTACCCCGCCCGTCTTACCCCACTTTCCCCTATGCCTACAAAATTTGTGTCACGAAACTGAGTGAAACGGTTTTGAACATTATACGCAAATCAGTGATTGGCGGTTTGCTGTTCTGACCATGTCCTTGTTGGAGGTTCATGAATAAAAATAGCTCATTCACGTGCTATTGTAAGGAAAGGAAAGGCTGACGGCCTGCTGGGACCAGTTGTCCCAGAGACTGCTGGTCCGCGCTGTCGGAGCTGTCCCCAAGCAACTGCAGGCCTGCGTGACGGCCCACGGAGCTTGCGTTGAGCACATGCTGGGATGAACAGCGGAAGCTAGGACGCATGTATCTGTTCTACTGTGTGCTTCTGTGTAAACTTTTATGAAATAAAATTGAATTTGGATGTGGTGTTATTCGCAAAAAGACAACCGATAGAGTGCTAACGGATTTTAGCGCATTGTTAGCATTTGGCGATTTCGTTTCACTCAGTTTTCTGACGCTCATTCCAAAAGCTAATAGTGTGCCAATGCTTTACAACATACATGCACCAATTTGACGTGTTTTATAGAGGATTTAATGCTCTTTCTAATGGTGTTCGAAATTTGTCAATAAAGTGAATATTTTCGGACTTATAGACATTTTAAGTAAGGGGTTCCAATTTTTTTGGATCACCCTGTATATGCAATATCCTTTTGTTCCACTAATAGTGCGGTGAAGGGATTGCAGATTTATCCTTTTCAATAGTGCCATATTGTGTAGAATTGAGCACTTTATTGAAAAGCCATCTAGAATCGACATTTCATTGTACGTATCAACATGAAAACTTGATGCAAACTCGAAGGTTAATGTCAGACGAGCAATGCCGAATTGGTATGTACATACCTAACCTGGGAAATATTAACGAGTAAGCAAATTGAAATCTGCGACGAGATGTTATTTTAATTCTTCGAATAATTAGTAGCATTGAATAGCCCGTTAAATTTAGTACCAAATGTCATTCTAGATTCAATTTATTATTGCCTCGCTTGTTGGCAAAAGCAATAAATCTGTACATATCGCACGCCGCCCTGCTACGCTCCCATTGCGTTAGTATGCAACGTCGCCTCGACATTCTTTCTGTTCCACAAAAAGTGCGATGAAGTGATGGCAGATAATCTATTAAATTTAGTGTCATTCTGTGTAGAATTAAACGCTGTATCGAATGCTAATCTAGAATCATATGTCATTGGTGTCCGTCTATGCAAAGTTCCACTGCAAACTTGAATTTTCGCCTCGGAGCGGTCGCCGACGGGCCGAGTGTCACGTGACCCCAATCTCAGGAGCCGGTCAAGGTCACATGACCAGAGATCGGTCAGTAGTTCTCAGATTTACCGCTAGAGTGGCGCCACTTGTATCGATGTCCGCCCTTGGACCGTAACGGGAGGAAAGTTTTCCTCACAGAATTGCTGCCAACTCCTTCAATTTGATTGGAAGCAATTTCAAGGTCACAGTGAGTCTGGCGCAGTAGGAGCAAACATGGCGCACGCGATGGAGCAGGTTAGGAGATTTTTTGCTCCATTTTTAGCGAAAAGCAACATTTCTAGAAGAATATGCATTCAACATATAAGAGGTATGTGTCAGCTTTTGTATCTCTTCGTCACCAGTGGTTTTTGGATATCAATAACTCGCAAAAGGGGCAAAAGTAGTCTGCATGCATTTTGGGCTTCCTGGCTTTGTGCTGGATGGGTAGTTTTTTATTTGTTTTAAAAGTGAGAATTACTTTAATTTATGAATATAAGCAATCAGAAATGCTAATTTTCCATTAATACATAAAACTATGCTTTATGCAGATTGTTGGGAATAATGTTCTAGATTCAACAAAGCTTGCAAACTTGCAAACCTGCTCATTTAAGATTATTCAAGAAATCTACTGTTTCATGCCAAACTGTCTTTAAATGACTCTAAAGAATGTCATCGAATTATGTTTTGCTGCTTGGTTGAACAGAGACATTATGAAAAACTAGTGCAGAACATGCAATTTGCAGAGCTGGGCATTGCGCAACTTAGGTCCGCAACTCCGCAACTCCGCAACTAGCGGACTACCCTCATGAGAGCGGAGTTACGGATCGGCTACCGAGCCCCAAAAAGTTGCGGAGTTGCGAGTTGCGGAAGCGAAAAATTCTAAAGCGCAACCGCTACCGGGGCCGCTACCGAGATACGGGATTGAAGCGAGATACAGGTTCCAGGACAAGTTCATTGTGTTTATCTCGTCAAGACTAATCAATTGATATGCAACATGACCTATTTGGGTCAGGTCGTGACCTTGAACTGAAGTCAAATTTTAAATTTGACCTTTCGAGGTCATCTTATATATCATTGATGGCCTCGAAACGACGCGCCTTGGTGGAGAAATGCTATGGCGATTAGATTATTGACCTAGCTAAATTATGTTAGAAGTTATGCCCGATAAAAGCCGTTTTCACGAGTTAGAGCGTCTGAAGCTGAAATTCATCAAAATCCGGGAAAATTGGGAACATTTTCACTTTGATGACCTCTGGTGACCTTCAAAAGGATGCAGTGCTATGTCCTATCAGACATAGCACTGCACTTCAGGACGAAAACTGATAAAACATAGGCCTAATACCTAAACCTAATAGAGATGGGTAGCGGAGTTGCGGAATTGCGGAGTTGCGAGTTGCGGTTTCAAGATCTGAAAAATAGTTTCGGAGTTGCGATTGCGCTTTGGGTACCTCTGGTTGCGGAAGGTAGCGGTAGCGGTTTCCAAATTTCGGTAGCGATGCCCACCTCTGGCAATTTGTTTTAGAAAAAGGCATATTGATACTCCCCCAACCGTCTTCACCAGGCTGGGGGAGTTTGAGCTAACACTGGCAGATCCAGGGAGCATTTGGTGCAATTTGGTGCAAATTCTTCCTCCCCACAGCACCTGAAATTATGAAAATATGTGTTTTTTTTTTCTAGAATAATGCAAAAACTTAGCAATTATTACAGGCATATTTAAGTGACAAAATCCCATTTGTCTTTTCTGATCACATTTAAAGTGTTAATTATGATGTGAATGTGCAGTTGCTTCAAATCACCACATGCTGCCTTATCTGAAAAAATCTGACCATTATATGTCGTGCTCCAGAGTTGTCTACATCACACCTTCTGTACAGATGTCTAAGCCACCAGACATCCGTCAAGTCAGCGTCTCCCCCTCAGACCTCATATGGCCAGCCCTTCAACTGCACACACCCTCACCTGATGAAGGAGGGAGAGGTAAGTCATAACAACCCCCGATTTGTCTGTTAATATTGGCAGGAGAGGAGAGACATGTGGTAGGAGGGAGCACCTGGTTGTCTCTATTGGTTGCTCATGTTTCACATACTCTGGAATGAGTTGGAAGGATGATCTGTTATCTGAGTATCATTGCTGTCCACTGTCCAGCTAGTGTAGCTTTCCTGCTTTCTGTGCTGTCTTATAACAAAAGCCTAGCTGATATATTCTGACCCCTGGTGGCCCACCCCTACTGCCCATGACATGAAGCCTGTCTCCAATGCAGAAGGTCTAACATCTGACCACTAACTCGGCACCTCCGCCCCCTCTACCGTCAGGTGACGCCGGGTCTGACGGCTGACGAGTTCGCCGACCGTCGGCGGCGTCTGATGGAGCTGCTGGCCCGCCAGGCGCCGCAGCAGCAGCCTCCTCAGCACCAGGTGGTGATTGTGCCGGCGGCGCGCGTCAGTCACCTCTCGGAGGACATCCCGCACCCGTTCCGGCAGGCCACCGACCTGCTCTACCTGAGCGGCTGTCAGGAGCCGGAGGCGGTGCTGGTACTGCACTCAGAGCCGGGCCGGCCGCTGCCCGAGCATACCGCCACGCTGTTCGTACAGCGGAACACCGCACACCGTCAGCTGTGGGAGGGCGGCTGCACGGGCCCGGCCGCCGCGCCCGCCATGCTGGGCGTGGACCGGGCGGCCGGCACTGCCGAGCTCGGCCGCTACCTCGAGTGTCTGGCCGCCGACTGGGCGGGCACCGGCACGGCGGCCGTCTGGTTCGACTTCTCTGCAGTGGATGTGCACGGACCGCTAAGTGGTACCGTGAGGGATCTGGTGACCTCACTCCGCGGGGCGGCCCTAGAGTCGCCACGCCGTGCCATCCAGAGTCTCCGCCTGGTGAAATCCCCAGCCGAACAGCGACTGATGCGGAAGGCTGCCCGCTGCGCCTCCGCCGCCATACGGGACGCCATGGCGGCCTCCCGTCCGGGGGTATCCGAACACGAACTGTACGCCCGCGTGGAGTTCGGGGCGCGGATGCGCGGTGCTGAGCGGCTGGCGTATCCGCCGGTGGTGGCTGGTGGTGATCGCACCAACGTGATCCACTACACCAACAACAACCGGACGGTGGACGACGGCCAGCTGGTGCTCATGGACGCAGGTACGTGACGGAAGTCGGATAGAGTGGGATCTTGTCAGGGAGCGACTTATATGTAGTTTACGGTTATGCAGCTTATTACAATTGCTGCTCGACTCCCGCAGCCCTTCCGGGTGTGCATATCGCTGAATGTGCTCGTCATCGTCACAATGTCGACATCGAACTGTGTCACCAGGTATGACTTTCCGGGAACCCAAACCTGAGTGGGCAATGCCTAACTATGACTGCTAGTGCAGTGTTACATTCCATGTCAGTTTGCCATTTTGCCATTGTTTGCCATTTTGGCACTAGACCTCGCTGTCATGTTACAATGGCTTTCCTTTATTTCTTCATCATTTTATTTTTGTGCAACTGAAGGCTGTGAGCTGCACGACTACTGTAGTGAGTAGTGACATTACCCGAACGCTGCCGGTGAACGGCGTCATTATTTTACTGTCACTGTGCCTGTCCAGTGTCACTATGTGACTGTGTCCCTTGTGTCATACAGGCTGTGAGCTGCACGGCTACTGTAGCGACATTACCCGGACGTGGCCGGTGAGCGGCGTCTTCTCCCGCCAGCAGAAGGTGCTCTACAACACCCTGCTGGAGGTAGGTAGGGTGCTGCGTCGCCGAATTTCTTTCATTGCCGATTTATGGTTCTGTGTATGAGATAGAAAAAATTCAAGATATGATCATATGAGGCGACTTTCCTGTCCTGTTTCGCATGTTTTTATTGAACCTCCTCACACCCCAGTGCTACCATTGGTCTCCTCCGGTGTCCACAGGTACAGGAGGCACTCATTGACGTAGTGCGGACGTCGCGGCCTTCTGAACCAGCTATACACTGCCTCAATGACACATTGACACACTGTGTCTCCTCGGGTGTCCACAGGTACAGGAGGCGCTCATTGACGTGGTGCGGACGTCACGGCCCTCGCTGGACGGCCTTTACGGTCACATGTTCCGGATGCTCTCTGAGCGTCTGGCAGACCTCGGCTTGGTCGGCTTCAACCGCGAGAAGGGACAGCTCTTCAGGGTGAGTCAGAGTTGCCAGAGACTCGCAGAGCTAAGCTCAGTATTGACACGATTTATCCTTCTGTATATCCTTTCGTAGAGGGAGATAGTGGGTATGAACGCTAAGAATGCCCGCATATCATATTTTGGTTAATCGTTACAGTGTATTTTACTTTTGTGTAATGAACTGAAGCTGTTAATCGGGTTTTGCCCTAACCCGTATCATGGTTTAACTGCTATTAGAGGTTTGATATTACACTTTGTAGAGTAGAACAGCTAACTCGGTGCATGATTAGTGAGTGCTGGCTTGCTCCCGGATATTTAACTAGGGCTGTCCATCGTAAAGGTTTGAGAGAATTTGCTGAATAACGAGCATAAAATTAAAGCAAATTCGTTGCTCAAATTTCTAGAACACAATGGGTTTTGGGCTTTTGATACATCTATTAATTAAATTGCATCAGCTCAAAATGGAGCTATATTTTAATGTGTGACGTAATTGCATGGTGTGTAAATGGTACACTTAAACAGTACCATTTATTGCTGGCTCACATTAACCACACCAATGTGCGAAATGTATTTTATACGCCGTATGCCTCCGCCAGGTTTGAAGCCATTTTCGATGTTTTGTGACCTCAAATAGCCAACACGGCATAACACGGCATTGTGCGTTGGACATCGCTGTAGTGCGCCTAACTTATCTTCTCGTCTTATTGACAATTTCATCGCGACATTAAACTTGTACTTACTGTTGATTCGCTGAATCGATTCGCCTAAATTTAGATTTATGTTGCTCGTGATCAATAGATTGACGATTTTTATTAAATTTTGAGTTTAAGAATTTTCAATTTGGATTTAATTTTAGAACCAAAACCCAATTATTTTCATTATAATTTTCAGTCATCGGCTATATTTTGGTGTGCATACAGACAACTGAGAGAAATAGTCGTGGGTCGAGTGCCAGTTTCATTGTTTTTTTTTGTTTTTTTTTTGTGGCCTCAACTTCCGTTTTTAGCCTCGTGAGGAGGTTGGCAAGCCGGGCCCATGAAGTGAGCAGACAAAATGGGGAGACCCACACATATGCGATTTGAAGTAGACAGGGGAGGAATTACAAGTGCCTCTTCATACTGGCCTAATAAGGGGGCAGGGAGATTTCTTTCACTGACTTCAAGCATATAACATATATAGCTCACATTAGAACATGGAATCTTAATACATTTGGCGGAGCTTTTGGTCACTGTGAATTCAGATCGGTCCAAAGCAAATAGACGACCAGTTGTATGGGCTAGCGTAGCGCTCGAGTGTCCTGCATCGCTGAGCTCGGGTGTTCTGCGAGCACATCTATCGCCTGGTCCTAATGGAGCGGGTGCCGAGACCATGCTAAGGGGATTTGGAGTCTATAGTAATGCCGACCGCCACTGCGTTGCTGGATTGTTGTCTCGTTTTACTAATGTGGATATCTCACCAGCAAGTCGCCTGCATCCTTAATGCCTGCAGTTGGCGTGCTCATCAACAGCCTTTGTAGTACGTTTTGTGATTAACAGCGAATCACACCGATTTGCATCATGAAAGTTAGCCGTAATACCAACTTTTTATGATGATGATTTTTGGTGATTATGCACGACTTTAATTAATTGGAGATGTGAGACATCAAATTGCATTGCAAGTTACCTTTTTAAATCAGTTTACAGCTTTGAACTGATATCTTTTTAGAACATGTTAGATTGAGTGTCGAGCGGCTTGCCATGCGGTTTGGCGTGGAATGCCTGCACTCGTCAGCTGTCCTCCCCTGTGACTAATGCGTCGTCTCTTCCGGCCACGGATTTCACTTCAGTTCAGCGACAAACTCATAATCGCTTCTATAATTTCTATCTTTTTGTTGCATTTCTGTCACTATCTGGGTTATCTCCGGATTTGCAGTAGAATAGCGTGCCGAATGACTGCAGTAGTTTAGCGTGTTCCCCACTCGAGCTGACACGGTATGCCCGCACAGATCAACCAGGCCCTCATCAGGCTGGGTGTGACCCACCGGGTGTTCGAGGAGGTAATTCACGGACCCGGCCGATGGGCCCCGCTGTGCCGCTTCAGTCGGTCGCTGCAGCCGTGTCGCTAAACACGCTCTAGCTTCGCGCCGCCACGCTTTGGCAGTAGCCGGTCGAAGTCACCCGGCAGTGTCTGATGTCGTGCTTTTGGACCGTGTGGTCTCTGGCTTCAATCGGCGTGCTACAATAGTCAGTGGCAGGCTTGAGTGGCCGTGTCATGATCCTTTGAAGTCAACCTCGTCGGTATTTTGAGAAAAATGGTTGCTAGATCCAAAGTACAAACTCCTATTGTGGCGTTTACGAAGGAGCTTTAAATCAAATCAGCTGCTTTTGCCTTTGTCGTCGTTTTGATCAATGTTCGTGTCGACTTTACAGCTCGACTAACGCTGTACAACCGCACTAACAATGTAAGAAATCCCCTGGTTTGGTTGGTAGGCAACATTTTGTAATAATTTACAAAGGTTTTGCTGGCATAATCGGCAATGGTCATGAACATATGCGCGTCAGAACCTTTTGTGCCTTTGTCACTCCCGAAAATGCGCAGCTCATTTAGGGCAGGCCAGATTAGGGACAAATAAACGAGGATCCAAAGGCGCCCGCTTTTGCTTATGGTATGGTCGATACTAAATCTGGATTTATATCATTTCAGGCACTTAACCTGTACGGACTGTACTTGTCGTTGGCGCGTAGGCGTGCTTCAGCCTTCAAGCGCTGCAATTTATTCTTAAATGGGGAATGGCTCGCGTGGCTTCCTGGCCCACTCACACGATGCGTTTTCCGTGTATCATTCGATGTACACGCTTACATATGTTGTTACCAAATACACCGTGACGTCTATCGTACAGCTCGTATTTAACAGCTAACCGCCTAGCATCAGTATTATATGTCACATACGCGTATGTCTATTGATTGTGCCACACCACACTGCTCGTAGTTAATAAGTCATGTCACGTCAGTCCCTTACCTCATAGCTGTGTTTCTGGGCAATCGTGTCTTGTATCTAGCTGGTAATTAACGGTCCAATCACCCTAACTACCGTTAGCAAGGTCCTTCCTGCTTGGTATGTGACGTTTGCTCTACAGCCGATTGAGAACTGCCCACTGTTTGATGACCCACACTGATCAGTGACTACCGATGATCGAATATCTATCCTCTGTCCGCTGTGCTAATGTGACCTCCGGGTGGTCCAATATTATGACCTTTTGACGCAACACTGCGCACTGTACTGAAGGATTGGTCTATGTTGTGAATTTCACCCATTGCTGATATGTGACCTCTGGACTGATCACCATACTGACATGTAACCTCTGGACTGTACGCTGTTCTGAGTGACTTCTGACCATAGATAAATAAGATATAAGATCTCTATGGTTCTGACTTCTGACCCGTGACACCTCACCTGAGACTGTACGCTGCTCTGACCTGTGACCTCTGAAATGAGCGTTGCTCTGTGAGTCTGACGTGTGACCTCCGGGCCTCCCTCCAGTCGGTGCAGCGGTTCTGCCCGCACCACGTCGGCCACTACCTGGGGATGGACGTTCACGACACGGGTCTGATCCCCAAAAACCTGCCGCTCCAGCCGGGCATGGTCATCACCGTCGAGCCAGGTAAGTACGCACGGCTGGGCATGGTCATCACCGTCGAGCCAGGTAAGTACGCTCGACGAGTTAGTTGCTATGATCATTACAATCGAGCCAGGTAATTACGCCCACACGTTTTACCTATGAATAATTGATATCAATTTGTTTACTTGTTTACTTGTTTAATTTACTTTACTTATTACTAAGTCACTATTTCAAAGAAGGCTGGATATTTTTGCTTTTGTGTGACTTCCTTTTTTAAAGCGAATGCCGCATAGCCGAGTGTGGTATACGGCAATACGCAAGGACGTTGCGAGCATATTTGTAGCATGCAGCTTGATACTTCTTTATTTCGATAGTTTAGATCCGTTTTTAGGTTCGTTTCTCCGTCACAGCGGCAATGCTCCCCGCTCCCAAATTGTTATTGACTAAGCTCCCCTCCCCTTCCCTTTGACACAGGTCTGTACATCCCGGCGGCCGACACGAGCAGTCCGGAGGAGTTCCGCGGCATGGGCTTCCGCATCGAGGACGACATCCTCATCACGGAGACGGGCTGCGAGGTGCTCTCCGAGGAGTGTCCCAAGACGGTGGACGCCATCCAGCGCGCCGTGGGCGGCCCCTCACCAACCGACTGTGAGTTGGCTGGAGCCGCGGCGCGAATAATGGGGCCATAGTGCTTTCGGGTAGGTACGCATAGTTTTCGGTCACATTGATATTCGCTAAATTTGATAATTGGCTCAATTGGATGATCGTTCAAATTGATAATCACCGAAATGACTGACACTTCAAATGGCTTGCTCAAATGACGCTCGCAAGTCGCTCGCGCCGGGGTTTTCGGCACGAGGGAACGGGTCTATAGACTGAGGGCACAGAATTGTGGAATGGAGCTAAGCAGCGAGTAAATTAGGTCATGTAATGGCACTCCACAGGCATGAGGGCGCGAGGTGACACATGTTTCTTGAGACACCACTGAGCCTGACTTAACGAAATCCCCAGCCCGTAGATCCCCGTTTAGAGTATTGACGACTTTCTGCTTAGTTTCAGCGGTATAGCCAGCCGGCCACTACCTCTCCTTGGTTAGTCGACTATGGAGGCGCGAACGTGAGCTAGGTGGCAGAAAGAAGAGCGGACAGAATAGGTCCGTCCGAGATCGACCCGCCGCTCCCACATCTCAGGATGAACGAGGCGTGTTTGGTTATGCGTGTTTGGTGCGTGTTTGGCTATCCGTGTTTGGTGCGTGTTTGGTCATGCGTGCGAGTGTGCGTTTTACCACAGGCTGTGGCAGTGCCGTTTGTATACATAGTTCTATTTTGATTGACTGTGAAAGTGGGGTCAATGTATCTACGCTTGCTTTGTATGTGATTGTGGATGTGTTTTGATACGACAGTTTAGGAGTCTCTCGGTATTGTAAAAGCGCATAACCTGAACCCGGTTTTCTTCCCCAGTGGACTGTAAGTGTTCAGTCTTGTTACCTCTAAAGCCTTGGACAAATATAGGCAAAAACAACTTTGTACTTACCACCCTAGGATCGTACACAACCTGTGTGCCATGCAACCGAACCCGGCTGTGCCCGAATGCTTGCCCGTTTCGACATATTTTGATTATTATAGGTGCCAATATGCGCCAGTCACTTGGTGTGGTAAATGAGGGTATCGGTTAGCTGTGTATTTTGTGTGAGCCTCGTATCGGATAAGGGTAAAATGGAAATGCACGTGACGATGACAAAGTCTTTGTATGTTTCGCTGTCCGTCAGATATACGAATGTTGGTACAACGAACGAAGGGAGCCTGACAGTACTGACACATGGGGTTCGGGCAGCAAGGTGTTCAGCAGTTGCGATAGTATCTCATACGTTTCTATTGTAATGCACAGTGACGCACTCAAGAAATTTAAAGTTGTAAATATCGAGGTTAGGAATTGTCTGACAAAAGCAAACGCGTTAAAAGATCAGCTACAAAAAATCACAGCATATGTATTTACCAACAACATGGCAGAAAAACATCACATACGTGGGAAAAGTTATTGACTCAAAAAACCGGACACTGACTGAGCACTAGACAAGGAACAACGCCAGGCAGGCGACCGCGCATCAACTTGTCTACACGTCCAGCACTCTGAGTTTGGCCCCTGAATTTGAACTCGCTGGCAAGGAAGGCTCTCATCAATGCAGTGTGACTTCACCAGCCCTCAGATCCACGAAAGAAAGTACATTACAGCTGTCCTACGCAACAGGCCCAGATTCAGCCAGTTATCCTGAGCGTCAGACCCGCATGACGAGCTCCTATGACCTCCAGGGCCACTGAGCTCCGAGCTCCTCGGCCGAACAACTTCCCCTAGCCTCCTAGCTAGCTGTCCTCACAGCTCGCCAGGAACTCTGATATGAGTGCCGCCTCCAGAGGCACCGTCAGCTGCTCCACGCCGTCATGGGACTGACGTGTGCGGATCAGTTTGTGATCGCGGAACTCTGTCAGCTGCGCGCGCAGCGCCACCTGAGAGCTGACGAGGAACGCGTCCCGACACCGCTGGTACAGCTCCGAGAGCGGCATGCCGTCAAACGTCTTGTCGCTGGCCCGCTCCACCTGTTGATCAGAAAGAGGGAGGAGTGAGCGAGAGCTGGGGAGTGGGGTAGATGAGGATGCACGGTACACTCTAGTGGATGGAAATTAGAGATGCAGCATGGGGCGGGGTTGACGTTCAACAGATCGCAATTGTGATTAAGAGAGCGTGAGAAAAATACAGTGCAAGGAGTCATCTGTGTGAGCAAAACACAGAACGTAGACAACTGGCTAGGGCCCACGTAAGCTCCGCAAAAAAAAAACGTAAAATTCAGCGCTATTTTTGTAAACGTTGCCCTGAATATCGTAGCAATAGCGCGAGCACATTAAATTCAATACGGGAAAGACCTCGTCAGCACTCATACATAAGACAACAGTACAGAGATTTCTGCCGTGTTCTGACCTGGTTTTTGGCGAGCAGTATGAAGATGCCGCGCGCGTTGGGTGTGAGCGACTTGAAGACGTGTCGCAGGGAGGAGAGCGCCAGGTCGGCCGTCTGCCGTACCAGCAACGAGTTCTCGTACGAGGTCTCCTCCGTGTAGGGAAGCAGCGTGGTGGCGTCAAACCTGGGGAGAATGGGGCATAAGTCACAATGTGGAAGTTCGGCTGCCAAAATAATTTTTAGGAATGACCAATTAGCGACGGGATATGAAGATCGAAAGCAACTCGGCACGGTCGATACCTAGTTATAAGTTGCATAGTTACTCGGGTGATAATAGCTCATCGATGAGAAATTGAGCTGAGAGCATAAATGAAAGGATACGCAGCAAACGACGACCAAAATGCTAGATACTGTTAACCCTATTCCTGGCGGGGGGGGGGGCCTCAGGAGCCCCCCCCCCCTGAGGTTTTTTGGTTATTTCTCCCAAACGCGTTGAGCTAGGAAGCTCAAATTTTCTGACTTTTCCTAAAAGGCTTCTACGCAACATGTCTGAAAATTTTGAGTTGATCTGACCTCAGGTCAGGTCACCAGAGGCGGTTTGGTGACCCTACCTCAGAAAAGTTTGCAATCACGCCAGAGCTAGAGTTTTTGACCGATCAATTTCTTCTCTTCAGGCTTTAGTTAGGGTACCAGTATGTGCAATTTGTATATCTCGGAATTTTTATATCGGTGACCTAAGGTCAGGTCAGTTTCGCGACCTCCCCATTATAAGTCAATGGGGGAAAAATCAACTCCCTGTTTTTACCACGAAAACGGGTCGGAATGGCCCCATATACCATACATGACTTCATATACGATCAACCTTCACTACCTTGAGGTCTGTTTTGCTGTTGGGCAGCTGTGAGGTCATGTGACGTCATCAAAGGTCACCAAAGGTTTTTGGCCAATAACTCCGTTTAAGAACAAGATACAGACGCGTGGATGGTCTCATTGTGTTCAGCTCGTCAAGACGCATCGAATGATATACATGATGACCTCGAGGTCACGTGACCTGAGGTCAACCTTTGACCTTGACCTTTCGAGGTCAACATATATATCATTCGATGCGGATTGACGAGAGGATCACGATGATGCCCTTAGTTTGTTCCTATCTTGACTAATTCGAAAGTTATTCGAGAAAAACTCTCTCCATATCTAGCGCCGCTATTTTGACTTTTTCGACCCCTGTGACGTCATCTTTGACCTGACCTGAAAATGACCTTAGTAAAAATTGTAGATCTTGACCGTGCGTATCCGATGCCGTTTACCGTTTGTCGCTGTGATGTGTAATTTTGAGATCTGAAGGGGGGGGGGGGCGAATCGGCCCCCCCGCCAGTTTCTTGTCCCGGCGGAGCCCGCCAGGAATAGGGTTAAAATGGTGCCCCATCCGGAAAATCAGGAAAAGTTGTCTAAATCTAGCAATTAACTTTTGATTTTCCTCAGTGAAATATTTCTTCAAAAAAAAATTGTCACCATCCAGCACTCACCAGAGGAAGTTGAACTGGGCCAGCTTGTGCTGGTCCCAGACCAGCGGCGAGTTGATGTGGTCCGCGGAGGCCAGCAGGTGGACCCTCGGCAGCTGCGCCAGGCGCGCCAGCACGTACTGCATCTTCTCTGCGCGCATCATCGGGCCGTCGATACTGTGCACCAGCAGGAACAGGGCGGGCGCACCGGGCGCCGCCAGCCGCCGCTCCACCGCCTCCAGCTGAGCCTCCAGCTTGGAGGGCGGCGCCGGCACGTCCAGCGCCTCCTCCAGCAGGGTCAGCAGCAGCTGGCGCGGCGTCACGCTTGGGTGGTAGCCGCTCACCACCATGTGCAGCCGCTCGCGCAGGTGCTGTCGCCGCAGTCGTTCCAGCACGTCGCGCTTGCTGCCCAGACCGTGCAGAAGGATGTTGAAGCCGTGACTGACCGCGGCCAACCAGTGGGGAAACATGATCTCGAGGTCGGTCAGCAGAGCGGCCCGCTCGGCGGCGTGGTCGGTCGGCCGGGCGTCCAGGAGGGCGCGCAAAGCGGCGCCGCTTAGTCGCGGCTCCGACAGCCGGCTCAGTGTGTGGTTGGACGTCGGTCCGCCGGCGCTGTGCAGAGAGAAGTAGTCCTCGGCGCTGACTGCGGCCGGCTCCAGCTCCGGCCGGCGGCGGGGAGCGCCCCCACGGCCTCGGACCGCTGCCGGCGGCACTGTGCTCGTCTGTTCTTCCTCCTCTTCCTCATCTTCTTCATCGGACTCTTCATCATCATCCTCCTCTTCCTCCATCGGCGCCTTGTATTCGTCCTCCGAGGAATCCTCGAGTGGCGAGACGTCACTGTCGTCGTCGTCATCCGATACGGCGATGTCCTCCTGTTTCAGCTTGGAGAGGCGCAGCTTCACCTTTCGCCGCACTGTCTGCGGCGTCTTCGCCGGCAGGGCGGCTGACGCCCGGCCTCGCGGCGTCTGAGGCGTCCTCCCCGCCGCCGATTTGGGCGTGGAGGGTGTCCTGCCGTTTCGCTGCGGCGGAGGCGGAGAGCGTGAACGGGACCGCGACTTGGATCTGGATCGTGAACGAGCTGGTGGCGGAGATCGGGATCGAGATCGGGATCGAGCTCGATCGTCAACGGTCCTGGAGACGGGCCGCCGGCCTCCCCGTCGGCCGCTGCCGATGGAAGCCGGCAGACCGGAGCAGCCGCGTCTCGGGGTGCCCGGCGACTTGATGTCTGCCGCAGCCGTCTTCACCGGCGACTTTTGTGCAAACTCTTCTGCCACGCGGCGCAAGTGAGAGCGTCGGTGGCATCTCTGGAATCCGAACACGGCCGTTCCGCGGACAGTGTCCTCGACCTCCAGCTGCGCCGAATTCAGCTCCGTGAGCGCTGCGTTTGGCTGTGCAGGAGGACTTTCTGGCTCAGACTCGGAGTCGGGGTCTGCCACTGACATTGGTGTTCCAGCACGGTGGCTTATAAGGTGTTGTGAATTCCGCAGCAGTTCGCCCACACGAGACATTTTTGGTGCAGTTTTGGAGATGCAGCATATCTTCTCCAAAGCATCAGCATCATCCAAAAAGCGGACAGAAAGTACTCCATTGATGTCTTTAATGGTGGAATCCTGGCGAGTCCTCATCGTTCTAGAGGAACTGGTGGAATAAGTGCATTTGTCACACCACAAAAAATGTTAGCTGATGCTTTCTTACAGGCTGGAAAGTTGAAACCTACCTATAAAATTTTGAGCTTATTTTCAATCAATGAATGCAGGCCCTCTAAACTCTGAAGCCGAGTAGTTTTCAACACATATTTATTCAATCCTCTGGCAAATGCAACGTTAACAAAATTTTCTTGTTTTTTTTAAATGTCTAGCTAAGCTATGATCCACACTCCACAATGTTTTAAAATTGTTATAGATCAAGATCCGTAGCCTTCCAGTCAATTTGCTAGGTAATACTAGGTACCGTAAGGTGGGGCTATTTGAGACAGTGGGGCTATTTGAGACAGTATTTAAAATTGCTATAAAATAAAAACCACTTAAAATTAATGCTTAATTTTTTGCTCAGGCGATTTACTGCTCGATTCCACATCTCCCTGAGCAAAAATATCACACAAAAATCAAACGATCCTCATTTTATAGCGATTTTAAATACTGTCTCAAATAGCCCCACTGTCTCAAATAGCCCCACTTTACGGTATTGTTGATACAATGCTTGTCCTCTAACAAATAGGTAAAATATCACTTATCATCAAACCATCAGCTTAAAAAGTATTAGGAAAATATACCTATATTGATTATTGATATAAACAAAATTATATTAATCTTACTTGTCTCCTGAGCCTGAATCTTTTCTCGTTCGCCTTCCCGCTGAATTCATCACGATTGTACCTATGTCTTGGTATTTCCTCAAATTACGCAATTACGGTAATTACGGTGAAAAAAGCTCAAGATAACTCCACAAATCTTGATCTGTCAGACGAAGCTATATAAATCCACGTGTCAAGCGTCCCTTCTCCCTGCGATAAGAATGAAGATCTTTCGCGCGTAAACTTTTTGTAAAATATCGCTTACAATTTAGTAGCTGCATTCATTCATATTTTGAAGCATGTGCGTCATACATGGCTAAGAGACATATAACTTTCAATTTTTGTTCGAAAATAATAGATTAAACACTGGGTGCTGCTGACAGAGGCCTACAGCAAATCAAAAGTCATTAATTTCATGCTAGCGCGCTACGTGCATGAAACATCCAAGAAAAGAACAAGAACTTCACGCTGAAAAATTCACGGATTGCGTAGTTAGTTATGCGCGTGCCGTAAACATTATTTGGGAATGGTCGGAGTGGAATGTTTGATTGTTCATAAAAAGGATTTAGTTGATGCTGTAATAGTTGTTTAATAGTTGTTATAGTGAAAAACTGCTGATTACACCTTTTCATGTCCGTTCTTGAATCTTGATCTTAAAGGAAATAACTTCTGAAGGTCCTGCCCCCCGCCCCGCTTGTTTGCTCCCGCCCCTTTGGCCTCCACCCCAATTTCAAATATTGTTTATTTGAAAATGGCTCACCTCCAGTAATAATAGTTATTATTGTCAATTAATTTCACACCAAATACATGTGAAACACAGCCTGAGCCCTTCCAACTACACAGGGCTGTTCGGGTCCTTGAAGCTGAGCATAGATCTGTGCCGCGTGCATCATACTTGAGTAATGTCAGCCACCTGGCTCCGCCCACTCTCAGCTGGCACACCACGGCCAAGCGTTGCTGCTGCCTTCCACCTGTAGTGAACCGTTACGCGGGTGGACTGGACTGGTGATTGTGGCTCAAATTACAGTTAAATTGTGTTCAAATGTGGTAAATAGCAATGTGCCACTGAAAAGAGTTATAATGATGCCCAAAAAAGCATAGAAACCACTTACAATAAGAAATATTTGGTGATAAACTTTCATCCGCGCGACTTTCGTCTCCTGCAGCACCAAATTTCAGGCTGCAGGAACAAGAAGTAGGTATGCTTCAGTAGGTGACATCACACAGGTGATGACGCAATGATGTGGGCGGGACTAACGGGCGACATATCGGACATAGCCCTCACTGCACATGCGTGCTGCAGCATATTTCATTTTGGCTGCGCAGCCGAACAGCCCTCACAACAAGTAGCCAACAAACAATTTGATTTATTTAAATAATGAATTTGACATTTGAATGATGCCTGAGTCGCCAGGCTGATTACAGAATACTGATTCAGTCCTCCAACTGTCCAATTGAACCCTGACCTTGCACCAATTTTTGTGACCTGGTGACCTGACCTGAGAAAACTGAGAACTGAAATTTTCATGGAATAGGTACATCAAAAGGATGCCCCAGATTTATTACTTCTCCCTCCTCTCCCATGACTGGAACTTGGAAGATTTAGTAGGTAATTCCCGCCTCTCCTGTGACTGGCTGGTTTATTGACTCCCGCTTGTTGCCGTGACTCTGGCAGAGTGACGGTCGGTGATGTCCGACCAGCGATCCTCAGTCTCGCCGTCCGGGGCCGTGCCCACCCCGCACGGCGTCGGTCTGCCCCGGGGCATACAGCACCAGGCCGGGCCCGGGCCGCCGCTGGCCCAGCAGTACCCGAGCATGGCCAGCCAGCAGCACCACTGGCAGATGGCCCAGCAGCAGCAGCAGCAGCAGCAAACCGGAGGATTTCAGCAAGGCTCTGGTAAGCATGGTCGGATTGCCGGGCCAATTCTTACGTGAAAATACATGATATGATTCACTCTGTCGCCCTAAAGCATTCTTATTCGATATCGTTTACATTTCTTTTGTAGATAATTCACTTCAGTTTTTTTTAAATGGTTGGTTTGCTAATTAAAGCGATAGTCTAGTTTAAATAAAATGCGTGCTTGCTGGTCTTTAAACATTGAAAGCTCTTTGCATGTCGCTCGTGTTGGAATATTTTTTACATGTATGTATCCGTTTTCAGACGGCGGTTACGGCAGCCTGCAGCACCCGTCCCCGTCCGGCCTGCCCCAGCACCTGTCCCCGGGCGGTGACCCGGCTCACTCCCTGCACCCGTCCGGACCGGGCGCGCACCACCAGTCGGCCGGGATGACCCCGCCGGCAGCCCCGGCCACCAGCCTGCCGCACCTGCCGGCGCCGGCCGGCCCCGCCCACCACTACTCGGGAGGACAGCACTTCGCGCCGGGCCGGCCGGCGGCCGCGGCGGCCGGTCCGCCGGCCGGTCAGTCGGACCAGGAGCAGAGCGCGCCGGGGGAGTACAGTCTGGGCGCCCTGCACGCGGCCATTACCAACATGGAGGAGCGGGGACTGCAGGAGGACCCGCACTACGCACAGCTGCTGGCCATGCGTGCCAAACAGCTGCAGAGCCAGGTAGGCACGCTCTGGGTCCTTGAGGCGGTGACAGACTGGCGAGGGGCTTGCTGAGAGGTAGCAGAGACTGTTAGTGGGACCACTGATAAATGAAAGAACTGCCGAGGCTGATGAGGGAGGCCGGGGCTGTCGCAGGATCACTGAAGAGCTGCAAGCGATCATGTGTATTGTATATTGATTATGCATTTGTGCTGCGCGGAGCTGACTCTCGTTTTTCGTTTTGTTTACAGCAACATCAGCAACAGCAGCAGCAGCAGCACATGAGCCCCCAACAGATGTCACAACACATGCAGCACCAGCAGCATCAGCAGCAGTCCCTGCCACAGCAGCAGATGCCGTCAATGTCACAACAGCAGCCAATGTCTCAACTGCCGACGTCGCAACACCAGACCATGGTCCAACACAGCATGCCCCAGCAGGCTGTATCAATGTCACAACAGCCCATCATGTCACAGCAGCAACCCATCTCACAACAATCCATGTCACAACAGCAGCCGATGGCTCAGCAGGCAATGTCTCAGCACCAGCAGCATCAGCCCGCGCCTCAGATGGGTCAGCAGCCCCAGCAGCAGCCGCCTCAGGCCGCCCAGCAGTCGCCCAACGGGTACCGGGCGCCGCCGCCGTCCGCCGCTGCCGGGACGGGAGACGGCCGACCGTCCCCGGGTCCGGACCGAGCCTCGGCCAGCGTGTTCCAGCAGCCGCAGCTGCAGCAGCTGAAGGCGCAGATCATGGCGTACCGACTGCTGCTCTGTAACCAGCCGATACCGAGCAACTACCTGAACCTGGCCATCGCAGGTGAGGTGGCGATTGGGGTGGGAGGAGTGGTGACGAGGAAGGGGGCGCGCAGCTTTCTCGTCATTTTTATAAGTTTCATTGTGTTAATTACTTTTATCAGTAAGCCATTTTCTGCTGATGTCATGTGTGTTACACCAAATTTGTTCTAGCACGACGTCATTATCATTCTGTCTCGATTTTGCTACCTTCCTGTGACATTTTCTAGGAGGTGTTTTAGTTCTTCTATGTATGTACAACCGCGTGTTCATCCCAAGCCATGTCTGTCCCGCAGGTAAGCGTCAGGCCGAGCAGCCGTCTCCACAGCGGCCGGCGGCTCCTCCGCAGACGCCACCCCAGCTGGGTGGGTACGGTGGCGGCCGACCGGCGGCGGGGGCGGCTGTGTCGCGGCCGTCCGGCCCTCCGCTGACCGCCCCGCCGGCCGCTGGCGGACCGCCGCCGGCGCCGCCCGCCGCTCCGTCCCCCGGCGCCGTGCCGCGCGCTCAGGGGCCGCCCGCCGGGCCGGCCGGGCCCGCGGCCGCCGCTGTGCCGACAGCAGGACCGGCCCAGGTACCGCCGCCGGCCCAGCCGCAGCCGCACGGAACCATGCAGCCGCTCAAACAGAACCGGGTGAGCACGGGGCTGCCTAATGTCGAAGTTCCGTTTAGCCGAGACGGCTGGACGCTGCGTCCATGTGCATATTCTTGCTGAAAACATTGCTTTGATTTGATTAAGCAGATATTACGCAAATGTATCACGATTCGGAAAGCACGGAAACGATCTATCACGTGAAGTCGATAGCATTAGCAGTCATTCACTCACAGTTTAGTTCCGCATTCTCACTGCTTTTATGTGCCGCAGGAGATCACTGTTTTCATTGTCTTATTTCTTCATTACCATGCTGTCTCCCCGCTGCTGCCCTCCTTCAGCTTGGTGCCCTTATCCCAGACTTGACTCCCATGCCTCCCCCCTCCAGGTGACCCCCGTGCGTCGTCCGAGCGGGCTGGACCCTCTACTACTGCTGGACGAGCGGGAGACTCGCCTGGCCGAGCGCATCTCCCTACGTATTAACCAGCTGAGCCTGCTGCCCGGGGAGCAGCTGCCGGATGATGTGCGCATGCGCTCTCAGATCGAGCTGCGCGCGCTGCGGCTGCTCAACTTCCAGAGACAGCTCCGACAGGAGGTATGAGATAATAGAGGAGGAATAGGAAAATGGACAAACTTTACTGTTGAATTTGCTAGCTCGTCAAGAAACAGCTGGTTGTGTTGTAGGTTGAGTATCATTAGTGGATGATCTTCCCTCACGATGGAGTTGATATTATGTGTTAACTATGAACTGGATTTGGTTCACAGTTCCGCGATTCAACAAACAGGTTTACCGGCTTACGTTCGGGCATTTGGGATTATATCGTCTCCTTGCTTTTCCATTACATCTGATATAGCTGCTCTCGCCAGCTTGATGAAGTTTCGTAATCTCTGCTGACCTCTGTCCCGCTGGCCTCCGCTCAGGTACTGGAGATGACCCGACGCGATGCCACTCTGGAGACTGCCACAAATCTGACTGCCTACAAACGTAAGAAGCGTCAGGGTCTGCGCGAGGCCCGCATCACGGAGAAGCTGGAAAAACAACAGCGATATGAGGCCGAGAAGAAAAAACGACAGAAACACATGGTGAGTAACAGACTCGTCGGCGTCCGAGCGGTCTCGTAGAGGTTGACGTTTCACGTTACCAAATTATGATTGGTAGGATACTGGGTGGCCTCTGTCATACAGGCAACAGAAGTTAGTCATTTTAAGCAACGTGCTTAATTTCTGGCTTCATTATCATGGTATTAGTAAGTATTTCTGAACTTGCAACCGCTCTCCCCGTTGCACAGGAGTACCTGGCGGCGGTGCTGCAGCACGGCAAGGAGCTGC